GGTTATGGGGGCGGGGGACAGGGGGCGGACAAAGAATGAAAATTTTCTTTTGAAATCTTACAGAAATCATATCATACCAAACGTCTTTCCATCATCTCCGATGGAGCCAAAATTTCACCTGTTTTTGGCTTTGGGGTGTGATGGAATAAATCAAAATGGATATCTAAACTATTTGCGCTTCTTTAATTAATGAAGTAGCAGTTAGTCAAGCAATGCAACTTTCGACGTTGAGCCGGGGGTCTCTTTGGAAACAGCCTCTCTACTTTCGAGTAGGGGCAAGGTCTGCGTACACACACCCTCCCCAGACCCTACTCTTGTGGGATTTAACTGGGTTGTTGTTGTTGTTGTTGTATCATACCAAACGCAGGAAATAGAATCAGAATTTTTCTGGAAAATGTTTTCCCCTCAACCAAACACACCTTCACATTCCCTCAAGAATCTATGACAAAAAAGAAGGATTGCATGTATACTCTTATTGTATAGACATCCAAAGTGTGTAGACAAGAAGCATTTTCAAAGGAATACTAAAATTAACAGTAAGCCAAGAAAAACAAAACAAATGATCACCTTCTGAACAAGGTGAGCTTCCCCTCTTCCGGTAGGAAGTGCAACAGTTTCGTTATAGCTCACACACGTTTCCTTCTCAGTCACTTCACCACAACTACATTTCAGCTGCGCAAGATAAACTGATTAGAGATTCCAAATATCAGCACTAGAACAGATTATAAACATATGGATCTTACATTAGAACTCAAAAAAAAAAGAAGTTCAAATAGGGCATTTCGTTTCTTGTTTCAACAATGAAAAAGGAGTGAAAGAAAGCACATAGCACACAGACATGTCTATAAAATTACTTAACCTTACAGATGCACAGATGGAGAGCACTTGTGTACACAAATCTGCATGTTATGTTAACCCGCACACAAGAGGGGTATCACGTTGTAAACTCTATAAATCATCTCTACAAACTGAATGTTAGCAAAGGAAACAAAGCAAGTGAAGAAAATGTTGGGCCGGATTTCTAATTGCAACTCGAATAAGACCAGCTTTCGACTCCAAATCCGGAAAAAAAATCAAACATGGGCAGATTCTAGCATTCTATGAAACCAATAGCCCCCTAGCCGCGTATAGAAATGCACAAGAGACTACGAGTAAAAAATGCTCAACAAGAGCAAGACCTAAAGCCACATATTCGCATTCCATGCACAATTCATTCACGAATGTATGAATTGTGTAAGAATCTAAGGGCCCTTTTGGTGAGCTGAAGTAAGGTTGATAGCTTATCGAGTCAATTTGGATAAACTTTGATCATTATTTAATTAAAATTTGTATTGGATATTAGTATAAAAATGATTTCTTTAGATTTATCTTGTAGAAAGCTATCAAAAAATTATTTCATTATGTGAATATGCAATACAAGCTTAATGCGATTGATTTTTTAAGTTTGTCTAATTTGACTCAAAAAAGTCAAACTGAACAAATATTGTGAGAGGGGGAGTATATGAGTTCTGAAATTTGAAATTATAAGAATTTTGGATAGACCAAAAATTTGATATGATTGTTACTGACAGTCACGGTAGCCAACAAATAGTCGGCGGTGGCAGGGTGGCCGGCAATTGTGTGAGATATCAAAACCCGGTATTGATATCAAAATAAACTTGTTTAGCTTCATCAAATTCTAATATTAGGAGAGAGAAATTACCAGACATAAACAGAATATCTTGGGAGCAAGCAAATGTCCCACATCCGAGAGAGGAGGGAATATGAACCAAAATAAATGGATTGCACTTAACTCATTAGTATATGGCATTTTGGAAGGTATCCAAAACCAAATTCGTGAAGACTTGACCTAAAGCGAACAATATCATACTAATGTGAGGATATAATGAGGGTACACAGATTTCCAACATGTGGTATCAAAGGCAAGCTCTGAGGGGGGCAAGAGCAATGTGACGGTGTGCCAAAAGGAACTGGACCATAAAAGATCTGCAAAGGGTGCCTTGTGTCGAAAGTCTTCATTAAAAGGAAGAGGTCATCATGGTTCTAATTGTGCTACAAGATGATTTGACAGATCAAATAGAGTGACCTGGGGTTGATGCCTTTCACCAAAAGTCTTCGGGGACAATGACAAAGTCGAGGAGCATGTCGGTTGTTGAGACGGTACAATATGTTGACAGATCAAACGTTGTTGCGAAGGTACAAGAAGTCGGGCGGCATGTCGGTTGCAGCTGGAGGGGAGGGTACGAGTTGCGTGGTTGTTCGAGTTGAGGTTCGTTAGGAGCAAAGAGAATATATGAATCAAAACAAAATATGTTCAAATCTATGAGGACCTAATGCGTTTTTTTTTGTGGCGTCCTATGATTCCCAACCTAGCTTTTCGTGAGTCTTTTAGGCTTAATCAAAATTTCCAACAGAAGAATAGGAGCGGCGAGGAAGGGAGATGATTACCTACCTTGAACATGTAGGTGAAGTTAGGGTTGTCGAAACCGCCTTGCGGCTGAAGATTGGTGAGGTTCTCCAGCTCCGCCGTGATTCTCAACTGGTATTGCACCATCTTTTCCTCTTCCAATACCACCAGGATGGAGTGAGATGGACCGAGACGGTGGGGTTTATTAGTTTAATAATTTGGAGGAAGTATACGCTACCCTTTAATTTGTGAGGGTTAAATAATGGAGAGGCCCAATTATTACAAATAATAAAACTCTTATAGTGTTACTGTCACAATTCGACCTTAGAATCAACGGAACATCTTCTTTTTGGACAGGTTGAGGCGTTGAGCTATCGATGCGAACACGCTATCCTTTATGAAGTGTACAATAAAACAAAAAAGGTTGAACCTCAATTCCCAACTCGACTCAACCTTTATTTTGGAGGTCATAAAGAAACATGATTAAGGCTAAGTTTGGGATTAATTTTTTTGATCTTTTTGATAAAATTTTAATGATGTAGGTTAAATTTGAAAATACTAAGATAATCTTTTTCAAAACGCTAACGTTGATGCCAAACAGGACCTAAAAGTATGTTTTTAAAGTTTAATTTTTCGTAACTTCTAACTTCTTCTATTTTTTTCAACTTTTTCAATTAATTTCAATTCCTTTCAATTTTTTTTCAATTCCTTCCAATTTCTTTCATTTTTTTTCTAGTTTCTTCCTATTTTTTTAATTTTTTCAATTATTTCCATTTTCTTTAATCTTTTTTTACTCGCAAATAACTACTCTAAAAATATATTTTTTATGTATTATTACTATTATACTTTTCTTTTTCCCATGTTATTATTTTGTGAGTCATACTCATTATTATTTGTTCATTCATTTTTAATATAAATAATACGGCGTATGATTTTATTGGGAAAATTATTAATTTTTAATTTACATTACACTAAACTCGGTTCCAAAAATTATAAATATTTTATTAATCTAAAATGACATAGGAAAAACATCAATATTATAAATTTAATAATAATAATTATACTACAATATATGTACCTAATTAATGACATGTACACTATTCACGAACTGGAATCATTTATCCCTGTCGCCTGTCCCCCTCCCCTATCCAGTACATTATTTATTCACGTGGTCGAATATTATTCACTTTCTTTACTTATATTATAGGCAAAATATAGTGATAACAACAACAACAACAATTATAATAAGAATACTATGAAGTTTTCAATATGATAAGTCTAATAAAGTCATTTTAATGTTAAAAAAATTTAAAGTTTGTTTAAAAAAATCGAACTGAACAAATAAAGTGTATTTCAATTATAATTGGAGTTCAAAGTATAATCCAATGGATCTTGTTGGCCTACCCCTTCAACGCGCTTCTTCTTTCACCCAATTTACGACTCTCTCCCCCCCTTCTGTCCTGAAGCCGACTCACAGAGCAGGTGAGCAGATATCCATGGCTTTTGTGTTTAAACTTCCGGCGAATCTCCAAGGAGGAATCTCCCACTACAATTTTACCGGTACGAGCAAAAGAGCTGTTAATACTAGCATTACCAGCAGGCAGAATTCTTCCATCCGAATGTGTTCATCATATTCCCAGATCCTCAAGCAATCGCCTCCATCTACATCTCAGAAGAGCGCACCTCCCATAATGGTATGTCTTCGGCAACGCTCGTATGTATATTTTCTTTTTATTAAGAGTTGAAGCTTTCTGGAGCATAATTACAAACCAAATTTCACAATGATGCAGGAGTTTTGTTGTGTGGTTTATTATGATTTGCTAATTAGGTTTCTCTATGGCGCTGTCGCATGTTTATTGTGATTTGTTGATGAGGATTCTCTTATTTTGTTAATTGACTCTAAATTTTCATTTTCCTCTTGATATTGGATGAAATATACAAATCCTTACTCATGTTTTAGTTGTAACTTGGACCTCCACTAATTGCCTGTTAAATTACAACTGCATTCAGACACTGATTTTTTTTTTAATTTTAATTTTTGAGTAGAATAAATTTATCATACGGAGTATTTAACTTGTTTCCATCATGTATTAGGTAAACGGATGTACTGGAAAAATGGGAAGAGCAGTTCTTGAAGCTGCCATTTCTGCAGGACTTCAGCCCGTTCCTGTGGCTTTTAGTAGCACTGAAGATTCAGGGAAGATATTGGATGTAGCTGGGAAAAAGATTACAGTGCATGCTCCTATTGACAGAGAGAGCACTCTAGCATTAATCTTTGAGGAGCATCCGGATTTAATTGTGGTGGATTACACAGTTCCTGCAGCAGTGAATGGTAAGTTATTTAAACTGATCAATGCATGAACTCTGTAGTTCATGTAGGTACATGAATTTATTACACCTTAGGAGTCCGTTTGGGAAGGGTGTATATGGTTGAAATTGGTGAAATTTCTGAAATTATGGCTGATATTTGATGAAGATGTTGAACTTGCTGAATTATGAAACTCAACAAGAACAGCTTACCCCAGTGAAGTCCCACAACCGGGGTGTGGGGATGGGTGTACGCCAGACCTACATCTAGATAAAGTGTTAGAGAGGTTGTTTTGTAAAGATTCTTAGAAATTATGAAACACCAAAGTATTTTTCATTGATGAAATAAAGAAAATGCTTATGAAAAAAAGGAGACTAAAATCATTGTTCAATTGTTGTAAGCAACTTCAGCAAAAAAGTACATATAGCTGATTTGGCTAAAAAATTGCTAATAAGACAAATAATTGGCTACCAGACCACTAGGCTTGTGAAGTTATTTTCATAGTCATCTTTTCTTTTTTTGCCGTCCTTTTATCTCTTTTAATTTGTTTAGAAGCTATGATATCTCCTTAACCAGAAAGCAGTGATGCTTTGTTTTTGGACATGTCTTTTTTATGTTTTTTGGTTGCTTTGCACGCACAGATAATGCGGAGTTGTATTGCAATGTTGGAGTTCCTTTTGTGATGGGAACTACTGGTGGTGATAGAGATAGGTTGTATAAGACAGTGATGGACTCTAATAACTACGCTGTGATCTCCCCACAAATGGGAAAGCAGGTAATGATGACACATCAGGCCTTTTAATGTTCTCTGCATCTGTCATTCTTTGGTCTATTGATTTTATTGCATGTGCCCTATTTGGTTTTGCCTAGGTTGTTGCATTTCTTGCTGCAATGGAAATAATGGCAGAGAAGTTTCCTGATGCTTTCTCTGGCTATAAACTTCAGGTATATCCAGTTTTTGTTTGTTTCAATGGAAACATAGATGTGAGAGGAGAGAAATTGGATAGATAGCATTTCTCTTGTTTAGAGTAGAAATAAAAAGAGCTGAAAAGAAAAAAATGTGGAGCCTACCACTTTTTGGAGTCTCCTCTATTGTTGGAAGAAAAGAGGTGGGAACTAAGTTGCATTGAGACGTGGATGTGTACTAAAACTGGGACAGTGAGACACCGAAACACCAACCTTTTCAAATTTTACGAAGGCTTTGGCTATCGGGACATACCTAGGTTCCAAATGGTGACATTTTGAGGGCGGGAAACGACATTTAGTGGGTGTCTCTCTGTGCTTATAACTTATAAGCTTGTCAAAACTGCCTAGAAGTTGTTTTTGAATTAGAAGTCAACTGATGACATGTTTTTGTTTGTGCGTATAAGTTGACTTATAAGCATCTTCTAAGCCAAAAAAAGTAAGTAAGTCATACCTACTTATTTTTAAGTAAGTTTTTTCAAAACTTTGTTTTGACCAATTTATTTACAAAATTATTCCTCGCCATTTATGAATATTCTCAAATGACCTGTCTATCATTTAAGTCATTTTACTTCACGAAAGAATATTCAACTTATAAGCAGCTTATAAGTTTAAAACTGCTTATCAGTAATAAGCTACTCCGGGGTAATAAACACCAACAGAGAGAAACACCCCCTACTTGAAGAATCTATGCAAACATAACATAGGGCAGAAATGGGTATTTTTGTTATTTTTTGATTTTCATCTTGTGCATCAAGCATAGCATTGTTGTTTCTCTCTTTGTGAATAATTAGTAAGAGCAGTTGCATTGGTTGGAGTTCAAACTCTCACGTCTCTCCGCTTCATGACCTCCACATCATCATTCCGTTAAACTAAACTCTCACCCACACATTCTACTTATTCATTTTAAGATAAAAGTTCAAACACATGGCCAGTGGGTGCTTCTAGCCACCAACTCATCCAAGTGTCAGCCGCTTGGAGGTTTCAAGTCGGTTCAAATGTTTGAACTGTATGTACTTGCAAAGTTTTCATTTTCCTTAAACCTTTGTTATCTTAAATATAATTAAATGATTGCTTTTTGAACTGATGTATAAGGTGATGGAGTCTCATCAAGCAAACAAATTGGATCTATCTGGCACTGCCAAGGCTATCATCTCCTGTTTTCAGCGATTAGGGGTCTCCTTTGACTTAAATCAGGTCAGTCCAGAGAACTTAAAGTCTGAAATGCTCATGTATCTGACTCTAGAGATTTTGGATTAAGGGTAGTAATGTTCTTTTTATAACTATTGATTTGGGGTTAAGGTTATGTTGTTGTATACTGTTCTCTCTATGTCAAATGTTCACGTTACCGACTCTGCTAATTTCAGATTGAGGCTACTAATATACTTTTATGCACTATATTATTATATACTACGTACTTATTTGGGATTAAGGTTCTGTTGTTGTTTATTGCTCTCTTTAACATGGCTTCCTGTCATGCTCACTAAATACTTACAATATTGCAGATATTTATTATTTGGTGGCATCAGATCTAGTCATCATAGCCAATAATTTTATAGAATTGAACAACAATGAAACTTGCCCTGACTTGCCATTTTCAAGAAGCTAGAAGTAAGCACATGATGGGGAAAAGGGACATAAAAAGTAATCAGTTTATCAGAATTACATGAACGTTTAAGCTAAAAGCAAATTATTCTAACTTGTCTTTTCCCCATTACTCGTACTACATTTCATTGTTTGTCGGGGTTCCTCCCAAAAGAGTCTCTCTACTCCTTGGGGTAGAGGTGAAGTCTGTATATCCTTCCCCTGAGTGGGATATATTGTGTGTGTCTGGTTTGGCAAAATTTAATTTGTTGTATTGATCAGTTTATCTATTTTTACTCGCTAGTTCATTATGACTTTTGTGACACATCAAGAGTTGAATGAATTTAGACATACATCACGTCTACGTTCATTCATTTCTTAATATATTCAGAAAGTAATAATGGCCTGTTAAGAGAGAAGGGAGGGAGTAAGTCACTAGTAGCTCTACATAATTATGTACTCCGCATCTTTAATGTCTTTGTGGAACAATTATGTAATAGGTAAAACAAATACGCGACCCCAAACTACAAACCGAAATGGTTGGCGTCCCAGAGGAACACTTATCTGGTCATGCTTTCCACACATACAATCTAACCTCACCCGATGGAAGGTATACATCTCTCTGTAACTCCAGCGTCTTAATTTTGCAGTTTCTGAATACTTTCACCCAATTCAAACACGGCTCCCCTTAAGTTGTAACCCAACTCAAAATATGCTTTCCCCAAAGCTTTTATTGCTCAATTTTTAACTATATCAACTCTATGCTTTTCTGTAGTGTCTCTTTCGAATTTCAGCATAACGTTTGTGGAAGATCAATATACGCAGAGGGCACCGTCGATGCTGTTCTCTTCCTTGCGAAGAAGGTTTAGCTTTCTTATTTTAGTAACAAAACCAAGTGTAATCTCAACTATGTTATTCTTAGATTCGGGTAGGGTAAATAAGGAATGAATTTGATCAAAATGGCTCTTTAAATCTCATTTGCTTCTTACCTATCTATGACGGAAGGGTAAGCTGTTAGAGTGTCATCCCACATCGGAAGTTTAAGAGCAAAATAATCGGTATATAAGCTCTTGAGTTGAACTAATTAATCGATTGGATTCAATCTTTTAATGTGGTTCAACCCAAGTGTCTTATATTTTATCATAAGCCGTAAGTGTGTTAGAACTCACAACGACTGCAAGCTATAAACTTGTGTGGTTTCAGAAAGTCATACAATTTTGATTGCAGCGCATATATCTTTTGTACCACAAATTAGTCTTCTGCCAGTCACCAGTGCTATCTAACCACAGGTATTGAACTCATTTTTCATTATATGATTACAGGTTAAAGCAAAAGAAAACAAGAGGATATATGACATGATTGATGTTCTGCGGGAGGGCAATATGAGATGAATTTCACGTTAGACCCCAACCCATCATCCTGGCTCTTTTATTATTATTATTATTATTCTAAAAATTATTATTATTATAATTATTATTATTAATTTATTATGGTACACATTCTTCTTAAAAGCAGGTAAGGTTCTACTAAGCAGGTAAGGTGCCCACTGGAGTGCCAAACTAATACATAGTGATTTCTAGAGCACTTATTAAGCTAATCTTTTGCATTTAGCTACAGAAGTGAATTCATTTTTGGCTCAAATCTAGCCATGGGTAGAGGCATATGGCATTTTACATTTATTTTGTAGTATGAATGCGAAGGCAGAATCGTCATTCTAACACTGTATTTAACCTTATGGTTTGAATTTGTTTCGAGTTTTATCGCAGTTTTGATGTTATTTTGTAGTTTGGTTTCAAAGGATTCGAACTCAATTCGACTTTAATTTGAGTTGTAAAGATGTGTTACTTGGGGATTTCGACAATGCGATGCTCGGAAAGATGGGATTAGCATTACTTAGAAAAGATATCTCCTACTTAAGGGAAGCTCTCTCACCCCCACCCCACCCCCACCCCCCGTAACACCCTCCAATGGCTGCCGCCTACCTAATCTCTCTTCATTTTCAATAATAGTAATAGTAATAATAATAATACTCCGTAATAATAATAATAATAATAATAATAATAATAATAATAATAATAATAATAATAATAATAATAATAATAATAATAACAACAACAATAATAATAATAATAATAATAAAACACTTCATCATCCAATAGATTTTAAACAATATTTTTAATTACAAAATCTTCTTTCAATTAAAATGATCTATTTATCCATACAACGCAAGTAAAATGAGAAAGTAACACTCAAATTATACTTTAAATATCAAGATTATTGAATTTGAAATGCTTCTTTAAGGAATACGGAGTATCTCTTTTTTTTTATCATAAAAAAATTAATGAAAAACATGTCGTGAAAAATATTATTTATAAGCCCAAAAAATGTTTTTTTTTCCATCAAATATATTCAATATTGTTTAATCCATCATTCCTCCAAACTTTTTTATAGGTATTTTAAAAAAATAGAGAATATATGATTTGTATGGTGAGTGCAAGGGGTCTTTATATACCATAATTCTTTTGTCTGTTTGGTGAAATCTAATAGAGTTCGAAATTTGCTACCATAACTACTAGCCACTCATTGTGGCTTGCTCCTCTGACCATTCTACCTTTGTCACTAACAATCATTATTTTATTTTTTTCCAAATACTTTTTTTCGAATGTCAAAATATCATATCAACTCAACCAAGCTGAGTAGTTTTAGTATTAAGTATTTTTAGCAAAAGTAAAAGTAAAAAATAGGTGGTAAACAAACAATGCATCATACATTATTCAAATTTCTTTGACCCAAAAGTGAACAAAATTTTGGGTTTGAAATTGAAGGATTTGGGGGGCGGGTGAAAGATTTATCGGGGGTTAGGAGGATAAAGAACCATCAAATATTTTAAAAGGCTAACGATACTGCAGTATCGTAGGTACCCAGTGTCACAGAATCGTACCGATTAAAGTAATAGTACCACGTGGCAACTCCATGGTGGGCATATCACTCAATTGTTTCTCTAGAACTGATTTAAGATTGGTGTGGACAATAACAAGTAATATTTTGATAATAATTGGTACATTGAGATTTAATTGTAGACTAACCAATAGGAAGTAAGATGTGTCCCTGCCCCTTGGTCCTATACTATGCATTGTCATCTTTCATTGTCATTGCCTGAAGTTGAGTTCGCGTATTATCCCCTTTTGTATTCCATATTGACCAATTAAGCTACACCTCGAACAAGATTTCTTTGGTGTATTTGGAAACTTGAATTTAGATTTCAAAGTTGGATTTGATCAAATTACTTGTTTAAATACTTAAAGAATTTGGATTTTGATCTCGATCAAATTATTCTAATTCAAAACAAACCCAATTGCAAATCTACACTTTCCCCATGTCATTTACGAATCTAGGTCTAATTTTTCTTTATTTTATAACTTGCTACTATTAAAAAATAATTTCTCCTGATGCAACAACAATTCCATACATATTAATCAGCTTCCGTCCCCGCCTTTATTGAATCTCATAATTTTAAATTCCAAATTTTGTTTGGAAAATTATAGAATTTCACGGCACTTCTCCTCCCCTCTTCTCATAAATTTCTCTATCCAAGATCAAATTTCTTCTTTCACAATCTATATTCCTTCATGCTTCCATCTTCTTCTTTTCACTAATTTTAGTATTTTTATTCACAAATTCTTGAATCCAAAATTTTAAAATCTTCACTTCTTTCTCAATTTCATTACTTATCTTAATTGTTTACCAATCTATTAGTTAATTTTTGGTTAATTGAAAAAAGTATGTCGGTTTTTTTTTAGTTAATAAGATTTGTAATTTGAAGCTAGAAGGGTCATTCATATTTTTGAAAATTATTGTCAAATTTAATGAGTAATTAGCAAATTATTATCAATGAATTATTTTTCAAATTATTATCTTTTTTTTTTGTGATTTGAAAAATTAGGAGTCATTCATAAAGAAACCAATCGGCTAGTTGTTTAATGACTTCAATCTTATTTGTATCCGGTAAAGATTAGCAAAAAAACATTTAACAAATCTTTAAATTTGTACTCCGTATAATTCTTCATTTGTACGAAGTATACTTTTCATGGAATTTTTATATACTCCGTAATTTTTTTACTCAAAAATATTGCGGGGTTTTTAAATACACCCATATTAGAACTAATTCAACACCTACATTTGTTTTTTTAATTGCTTACCAAACAGCTCTAGCTATGATTTGATTTCATTTCTATTTTCACCAAACACTTTTGATTCAGACTCAAAACCCATATCATTTTTCTCAGATTTCAAAACTCATGTCTTATCATATCTCTAAAACTCACCAAACGGGCCGCAAAAAAAAACTCATGGGGCGCTTAGTTTTTGCAAGCCATCAGCTTTCTTCTCTTGAGTTTCTTCTTCTTCTTCTTGCCACATTGCCCTTTCGACGTCCTTTCACTTCCGGGGAGCACTGTATCCTCTTCAGCTGGGCTGCTTTCTTCTTCTTCTTCACACATATCTTTCTCCTCTGGATGTTGATGAGCTAAGTAAAAAAAAAAAGATGTTTAAATAAAATCCATATATGTCAGCCTAAACAAAGAGCTTGACATTCACTTATCATATCCATCTGTCCCTAAAAACCAATCCTGTATAGACCTTTAAGGGATTTAAGAGGAATGTATTTTTGTGTTGGCTTTCCAAGAATGTCCTTGAATGTGATGAGTCAATTAATAGTAAAAAGATATGATGTGATGAGTCGATTAATAGTAAATAGATATGATGAGATACGTAGAGTAAGAGGTAAGGGTAAAACTTAAAAGTGACTCTCATAGAAAGTGAAAAAGTTTTTTTTTAGGAGGGATAAAAAAAGAAACAGAAAAGACTTTTAGGTACAGAGGGAGTATTTTTCTTGCCTGTTTTCATGGTCTTCCGCTTCTTTTCTAGACCGGGGGGTCCTTACCGTTCTTCTTCCCGATGGTCAGTTTGTGAGACACTTCTTTGGCTTCTTTGCATACATGTTGTGTATCATTCATATCTTGTTGCTCTGGCAATAGCAGTGATGCAATTTTTTCATATAAAAAAACGTATATATCTCCAGCTTTCAACCAAACCAATGAAAACAGAGCCAAAACCCAACTCGTCGTATCCTCTTATACCTGTTTTCTTGGTGCTTGGCTTCTTATTTCGTCCGGGGTCTTTAGCATCCTTCTTCCTTTTGGTTGGGACCTCAGAAACTTCCTCACATGCTTGTTCTACCTCATTCACAACTTGTTTCTCTAGACATAAAAGTGATGAGAAGTATATTTGTGTACATACATACATACATAATATATACATACACACACACACACACATATACATACCCACAACACAAAGGCATGTGTGCCAACGCATGCATCAAATTAGCAACTGAACCGTATTTGGACTGACATTAAGGCTTAGAAATCAACACTTCCTACATGTAAAATTTTACTACTTTTTACATAAGTAAAATGTGCCCTTCTTCTCGATCAAGATGACTTTAGAGATCAACACTTCCTAGACTAAGAAGGATAAGGGAAATATGAATGCTCGTAATTGAATCATAATGGATCTTAGGATCAAACAAGTCCTGGGTCTTGGTATAAATCATTGATTACTTGGATAAATTCATCAAACATTTTGCCTACATATTTTTTCCCGTAAAGAGTTCATACAAGAAAATTCCCAGTTAGTTAATACGATAATGCACGTATTATACTTAAGTAAATATAATACACGTGTTATACTCATGTATCCGTATGATTTTCAAAAATACTTTAAAATACATGTATATTGATATTATAAGTATAATATTGATTGAATATTTCACTATAATTTTTTTTGTCAAGTTCTAAAAAAGACTTCACTCTTTCCCTTTTTGTCCGTCTCAAAACCTTCATTTTTTAAGAAATGAGTGACTCACAACTCTTCTTTTTTTCTAAACAAATTCAAATTATAAAGTTTTTGTTTTTAACATTTTCTTAAACTACATACGTGAAAGTCAAATAAGGATTTTTTCCTAATGAAGGGAGTATATATTTTTTTCAAATAAATGTTTTAAATAAATAGAGATTCTAATTTGAAAAATTCTATTGTAAATATTTCATTTAAAAGATCTTTGCATTTTGTTTATTTACCTTAATATAATTTGATGACTATGATTCGATAAATATGTGTAGATTTGACGTATATATGTTAATATATATATATATAAGCATATAATAAGACGTATTTTAAAAATAGAAAATGTTTAAAATGCATATGTATTTGTATTCGTATGCCGAATGTTTAATAAGCATAGTAAGCCGTATTTTATAAAATTCTAACGTATTATACACATACGTACATATTGACGTATTATACGTCAGCCGTATATTACTAACTAGTGAAGGAATAAGATACTAACCTTCATTGCAAAAATGAGAATCAAAAACAAAACTAGTAAGCTGCTGCTTCAAGAACACCTGCATGGGAATTCAGAAAAGCTTTAGAGTGAGCAGGCAACCAAACATTACAGATTCAGTACAATATTTTGCATGCAGGCAACCCTATAACATTCACTTTAAAGTTGTAAATTGATGTTTATTTCCAACAGCATCTGCTCAACATACCGCAGATAGAAGTTGCCTGGACTTGACATCCCAAATGCGCAAATACCGGTCCAGCCCTATGAACATTAAAAGTGTTTCATATTAATTTTTCTTCTTCGGAAAGGAAGTCTTTTAGAGAATGAAGGCAGCCTAAAGAACAAGAGAAATCCTTGGAGAAGCTCTGGCAACAGTTCGACTTGTAGTGTGGTTGCACCCTAATCAACTGTACTAAGCTTTAACTCCCCAATAAAGTGGAGACAACGTAG